TCCTGCGGACGTCGGCTTCAGTCAGAACTGGGGGCCGACTCTGTGCTCCCCCTCAAGCTAAGCATGATGCCCAGGAAGGCTCGTCTTCCTTCTTTATCGTCCTCCAGAAGTAGACAGCCCCCCGTTGACCCCAGGTGGCTACTGCACCCGCGGCTGCTAAGCACAGGTGCCCCGCCCAGGCTCCTTGCCCCACATGCCCTGCCGCTCTCTTGCGGACCTGTGGCCCCGTCAGTTCCCTGAAGACGCACACTCCTTCCCGGCCTGTGACAGTGCCTCTGTCTGAGACACTTACTGCCTCGACTCCCACTCTTCCTTCAGTGTCTGCCGAAATGCCACTTCTTTATGGAAGCCTTCCCTGACCCGGTCAGAGATTTGAAATCTAAACTACTTTCTTCTACACCATCCCTATACTACGCTCTACTCAGACCTTTTAGTTTTCCTAACATATCAATAACATTTTATTTTTATGTTTTAAGAGTATCTGTTTCAGTAGACTTCATTCATCTTAGGTGGATAACATGAGGGCAAGAGTCTCCCCATCTGTTGTTCCTCAAAATTAATACCTACTCCAAGCACTCAGTACTCAGTTCTAAGCACCCAGTGCATATTTGCTGAAATGAGCAATAAATGGTGAAATCCCACCCAGAGTCCAGACTTTATCTTCAGAAGCTCTGATTCACTAGGTCTAGGTTACAGCCCAGGAATCCATATTTTTAAAAATATCACAGGGACATGACAGTAGCACTTGAGAACCACTGTAATAAACAGTTTTGTAAAAGGCACTGAATGAAAAACAGCTCGTGCGAAAGCCGTGTGTCAAATGGCACACAACCACTGAACGGAAAGCTGTTCCCGTGGTCACGCCTTTGTCCTTGCTCTAGCTGACACATGAAGTGAAGAGAATGCTAACATTTCTCATATGCCAGAAACAAATGACATTTGTCCACTGATGCTGGCCAAGGAACGGACTCCACATGGAGCTGTTGATGGCAGATATGTTGGTGGGAGAGGAGGAACGTTGCAGCAAAGTTCCTGCAGGGGCTGGAAGGAGATCTAAAGCAATATGGCACATGCACAAACTATTCCTGGAATGACATTCCTCTCCTGTAATCATCTAGACTGCTCACCTACGTTGTGGTATATGAATAGTGCATGAAATGATAAAATGTAAGGCTGTGTAGCAGCCAGATGAACAGGTACCTTTGAGTCTTCAACTGCGAGACCTTGCTGTAGCTTTCCTTTCCTCCTTCATTACCAAGCCCTCAAATTATGGCTATTTCTTATAGTAGTACTTAACACGCACGCCATAAACTTCAGGCCTACTGTAATTTTAAAAATCTTTTTATGCCTTCATTAAGACATACTGCATATTATGATAAGCATTTAAAGTGACAAATTGGTCAACTTGACACACATCTGCACCATGAAACTACGGTCAAAATCAAGACAACAAACATCTCCACCGGATGGATGCCCACAGCCTGTTCCCTCAGGCTCCTTGGACATCTCTCCACCCCCTTCTCTCGGCCTTCTGACTCACTTCTCTAACTACGGATCGAGTCAAATCCCTAGAATTTCTTAGAAATGGCATCACTCGGTTCTTTTTTTAAATCTGTCTTTCACACAGCACTATTTTGAGATTCGTTGAGGTTGATGCATATATAAAAATCACTTCTTTTTGTTGCCAAGAAGCGTTCAATTTTATGATAAATATACCTTCATTTAGTTTGTCCATTCACCTAGTGAAGGACATTTCGATTGTTTCCAATTGTTGCCTAGTTGCAAAAAAAAAAAAAAAAACTGCTATAGAAATTAATGTAAAAGTCTTTGTGTAGACACAGGCTTTCACTTCTTTTAGGTAAAAACTTAGGAATAAAATACTGAATCGCAGGATAGGTATTTAAGAAAACGACAAACCTTTCTCCAAAGTGCTGGTTTTATCTGCTGATGAACAATGTATTAATTAGTTACTTCACTTTTTACCAACAGTTGATATGGCCAGTCTTCATAATTTTAGCCATGCTCACGCGTGTATATTGTTAGGTCATTTTAGTTTTTGTCTTATGTGACAAAGCCACTTTCATGAAGTCCAGATTCAAACCTTCCCTTTAAAGGCAGATTTGCCCCGCACTAGAATCGCAATGAGTTTCACTGTCACTTCTGCATGTGCTATAACAGGAGCTGTCAAGCTGGGGCAGATGCTGGTCCCATTCTGCAGAGGTCCTGCTTACTCAATGGCAGGTTTAAAAAGCAGCATGCACTTTCAAAAGCTGAATTTGTAAATGATGTATTATACCACTTGCATCAATAAAAATGTAAAGAGATGTGATGCTGATGGAACAAGCATTTGTTGTGCTAATCAGGTAACGGCATTAGCTGGGCATTCATACCAAAAGGGACAAAATATAGTCAGAGTCCTGTTACTATGCCAACGAGAGTGCATGTACAGCTGGTATTCAGCTGCTCTTCATGATGCTGTCCAGATTTGTTTTTGTGGATTTCTGCCAGCTGTGATTCATCTGACCATGCTTCGGTGGCTCTCACAGAAAGCTGTGTGTGTGTGGGGGGGTGGCTGGAAAGTGGAAGGGGGCTGTCAGGCTGGCCGCCTTCTTGTTTGATACAGTTGGTCTTCATATGTATCTTCACTGGGCCTCTCCATGTGGACCAGTTTGAAGTTATGCATCCTAGTGTGAAGACTATGTTACATTAGACCAGGTCATCTAAGCTCTCATCCCTCTCACCTCTGCATTCATAAATGGAAATGCATCACTGCGCCAGCAGGCGGGTTGGAATCCCCCTCTTTGCCTGGTATCTTTTTGAAGCAGGGCAACAGAGCAGGATCCTGCAGGGGGCCCGGAGGGGATGCCGCCCAGTCAACCACTTTTAATTACCAAATGTGGGTCATCTCAGACGGGGGGCAGAGCTGTGCTTCTCTGCTGTTGGACGATCCGCCCCTTTCCACGGAGGCCTGTGGATACTCCGGCTGTGACAGCGGCTCCATCTCTCTCTGCCCCGGTTCTGTCCAATTCTGCTTCGCATGTTTTGACTGTCAGTAGGCACTTAACAAACACTGACCTGTTTTGTCTTCTTGGACAACTGGCCCTTTTATCATTACGGATTGCCCCTCTTTACCCCTGATCATTTTCCTTGGTCTGAAGTCTGTTTTGTCTGAACTTAACATAGTGAGTACCCTACAAAAGCAAAATAGCCCTACTTCCTGGTATTTTTATGTAGAAATAAATATCCCCAGGGGTCATCTTGTAAAATGTTTCTGCATTCATACTTTAAGTACTTTATCTCCATCTATGCTTCTCCTCCTGGCCAGTTCCTCTCATCAGCACTCAGGTTGCTTCCCTGCTACTTAGCCTGTGGCTTTCGGGCCCCCAGGACTTCTTCCTACAGTTCTGAGAGCTGCATGAGGCTGACAGATTCCAACACCATTGCAGGCATGACCTCAAAAGTTCACAATGACTCAGATGGCAGGATGTCAGTTTTGGTCACTTCATATACAAGCACACCGGAACCTGGGGTTGTTAAGTGATTTACTGGGGCCAGGGCCCCAGCTAGTGCTAGCAGAGGCTAGATAAACAGAACCATACACTGCAGAGGTATTGCTGGGTCTAGCATTTCTTTTAAATCTCAAAGAGCTGTACACAGAAACATTAAATTATGTTAGCAAGTAAATTACTCAGTAGTTTAGACTGTATCACTTGGGAGGTAATTGTGATAACCTCAGTAAAAAATATTTATACCACGCAATTAATAGTGCCTGGGATTTTTTTTATAAGAGTAACAATAAATACGGCAAACTATAACAACTTTGCAGTAAAAAGGCAGACAGGGAGATACACAGACCACAAAATTTCCTAGGCATTGACAGCAGATTCCTTAACTTACCAGGCAAACTTCTCTGCTACAATTAAAATTTTAAGTTTTACCACATCTCTTCACCTGAAAGATTACTTTCAGATGCCCAGGTAGGTCAAAACTTAATGTCAACTCTTGTGGAAACTTGATTTTCTTTTTTCCTGGCTCTTTTAGAAGAGAAGGAACAATCAGACAACCAATGCAAAATGTCTAGCGGCGGGAAAGCGCAGACCTCAAGCTGTCAGGAGGAGGCTGGATGACACTGCTTAGAACTGTCACTTTAACTGAAACGTTGGGAATGCCTCTGAGCAAGAACATTTCTGCGAAGGCTAAAAATAGTAAAGGCAGGGTTATAACTGAGTTGTTTACTACTTGAAGTTGAGAGGAAGGAGAGAGGCAGCCTCAGATCGCCCACCGCACTATGAGGAATTTTATCTTCTGCTAACAGGCCTGGAACGCACCTTTGCTACAGGCCCTCTCCGCTTCCCTTCCACTTGCGGCCCTTCAGCAGTGGGCTGCGAAGCTCACTTCCCTTCTAACCCCCGAGTCCGAGTCCGGGGCTAGGGGCTTAGAGGATGAGCTGAATTGAGCGCGTGGATAGGCGATGGTGGTGATGCGGGGGGGGGGGGGGGCACAGGACCAACACGGGGCAGTTTTCAGGTGCACCCTGACTTTCACCTAACAGCCTGCGAGCCGAGTGCCACCAGGGACGGCGCCGTGTCAGGCCCTTGACAGTGCGGTCCTCTACGCAGCAGCACAGCACGGCAGGCGCGTCCGAGAGCTGAGTATCCGCTTTCACGGAAGAGAAAGAGGACTCAGACCAGAGCGGAGGCGCCAGCCTGCACCCGGCCGGCCCTCTGACCGAATGAGTCAAGAGGACCGCACACCGCAGCCAGCCCGGGCAAGGTCAGCGGCTTAGCAGGACCTCGCCTCAAAACAAAACAACACAGTTTCAGAAGGACCAGGAAGGTGGCTCCGCGGGCAGGGCCTGGGTGCGATCCCAGGTACACACTGGGGAAAGAAAAGGAAGAGACGCAGACGGGTGTACGGTACGGCTCCCTCACGGTCGGGCCTCTCAGGGAGAAGCCGGACGGACCGATTTCCAAGGCCCCGCGCCCCGCGACCCCGCTCACCCCTGGCCGGCGGCGCCAGCAGCAGCAGCGGCCCCAGCAGCAGCGGCCCCAGCAGCAGCGGCAGCGCGGCCTGCAGCGCTCCTCCTCCTCCTCCTCCTTCTCGCCCCATGCTCCGCGCCGGGAAGAGCGGGGTAGGCGAGGCCGGCGCAGAGCCCAGCAGCGCAGCCCGCCGGTTCCGCCCGGGAAGGCTGGGCCCGCAGCTTCCGCCGGGCGCCGCCCTCCTTGTTTACGCCTCCTCCGCCCGCTGCGCTGCGTTCCGCCCAGGCCCCGGTCTCCCGTGGGCCCGGCGGTCCGCACGGGCGGCTCCGCCAGCCTCGGTCCTCCCGCGCGGGGTCAGCCGCGGTGGCCAGGCGGGCTGGGCGAAGACTGCGCTTTTTCCAGGCTTATTCCAAGTTCATTTTGTGAGTGGAAAGTGGGACTTTCCATAAAGGTATAAATGGAATTACCATTTGAGCGATCAAGGGCACAGATAAAATCTTTAATTTGTTGAGCTTTAAATGGGAGCCTAGGAAATGTGACACACCCTAAAAATTCACTTATGAGAACATCCGCAAGTGCTTCTCGACTTATAACGGTTTATATTTTCAGAGTGTATGCTTAATAAACCCATTGTAAGTTGGAAATATTATAAGTAAATATGCATTTAATACATCCAACCCACCAAAGGTCATAACTTAGCAACACAGGTACGTCCACTAACGCATATTAGTTACTTCTCCTTCTCATCTTGGCTACTGGGAAATGTGGCTTGCTGCGTGGGAAGAGATCAAAATTTAAAATGTGAAGTGTGATTTCTACTGAATGTATTACCACTTTTGCATGATCATAAACTCAAAAAATTGTAAGTCAATCCAGGGTGGGTTGGGGACAATCTATATTTTGAGTTGCATTTTCAAATCTCAAAATAAAGTTTAACATGTCATTTATGTCATTTTTACTATGTGGTTATTCTGCTTACATATTTCTACATCACAATCGGTCCCAGCCACATAATTCATGGTTCTTTGCCCATCTACACTAAAAGCTCTATAGATGGGATTTTCCCTCATGCTAATCTGTTGTTTTATTTATCACATCCTAGTTGCCAGCTATGTGACATGGTCATCTGTTTAAATGTCACCAATTGCCCATATTAAAGTAATACTTATCTTATACAAAAGGCAATTGTGGTGAAACAGTAAATTTTGTATAAATCTGAGTTCTTTCTCTCATAAAATTGAAGAATAAAATCATGGACAAAAGGAAAAGTTTAGGGGGATAGTCTTTATATATGTTTTATTACTACATGTTTGCAATTCATGGCGTTGGCAATCATCTTGGGGAGTGGTTACATGTACATACTACAGCTTGGCTTTTTAAAATCCTGTTCACCTTGCCTTCTCCTCTGGTTCCCCATCACCTTTTTCAAACTTGATGTTATTGGTCTGGGCTCATGTTACGGCATGTAACGTTTACCTGGACTGAATTTATTAGGATCTTGTTCGGGGTATGTCTTTATTCCTCGCATTTCCCCTTCCCCTCCCCCTCCCCTTTAACCCTCTCCTCTTTCCCTTGGAGTACTTCCCTACTGGATGAGATCTGTGCCCTTGTCCCATTCTATTCATCTTTTATCATTTCCTTTGTACTTTGCCTTGAGGGTGGAAAAACTGTCTCCAGGTGTAAAACTGGGCAACTATGGGTTAACCGTGTAACTATGCTTGCTGAGAAAGATACATTGTAACTGTAGTCATTACTGTAATGCAGGCTCACTAGAGCAAGGGGATCTCATAAAGACCTGCCAAACCTCCTGCTCCCTATTTCATTGTTCCTTTGCTTATGTAATTGTGTTTAGATGGATAGCTGTTTCCCCAGTGATTATGGGTGGTTTCCCCCTCCCATAGAAACATAAAGGTATCAAAATAAAAGTGAACTTCTGTTTGATGCTTTTGAGGTGACTGGAATCCCTTAAAGCAGCCGGCAATAGAGCTGGTTTTGTTCCTACTCAGTGTGGTTGTTGGTCTGTCCTGAGATCCCCAAGTGGTCACCCTTCATCCTCACTGAAATGAGAGATACCGTATGGTATTTAAGCTTGTGTCTGGCTTATTTCACTCAACATTATATTCTCCAGGTACAACCATTTTCCTACAAATGCCTCAAATTTGTCATTATTTATAGCTGAGTAGTATTCCATTATATATAGATACCACATTTTCTTTATCCATTCATCTATTGATGGGTATACAGGCTGGTTCCAGGATTCAGCTATTGCAACTTGTGCTGCTATAAACATTGGCATCCAAGTATCACTGTAGCATGATGCCTTAAGGAGGCATAGCTGGGTAATACAGGATTTCTAATTTCTGTTCTTTGAGAAATCTCCATACTGATTTCCGTAATGGTTGTGCTAGTTTACATTCCCACCAACAATACAGGAGGGTTCCATTTTCACCACAGCCACACCAGTGTTTGTTATTGTTTGATTTTCTAATGATTGCCATTCTTTCTGGTATAAGATGGAATCTTAGTGTTGTTTTAATTTGTATTTATCTAGTGACCAGAGATGTTAAACATGTTTTCATATGTTTGTTGGCCATTTGTACATCTTCCCCTGAGAAATATCTGTTCATGTCACTTGCCCATTTCTTGATTGGGTTTTTTATTTTTTTTATTTATTTGTATTTCTTTCTCTGTGAAGAGTCTATTCATTTCTCTAGCCCAATTCTTGACTCGGTCTTTAATTTTAGTTGGTTTGAGTTCTTTGTACATCCTAGGTATCAGTCCTCTGTTGAGGAGTAACTGGCAAAATTTTTTCCCATTCTGTAAGTTGTCTCTTCTCACTACTGATTGATTCTTCTGCTGTACAGAAGCTTTTAAGTCTGATATAATCCCATTTCCGGATTCTTGCTATTATTTCTTGTGCAACTGAGGTTCTGTTTAGAAAATCCTTTCCTACACCTATGTCTTCAAATGTTTTATCTATTTTATCTTCCAGAAGGCTTAATGTTTTTGATTTAATGTTTAGATCTTTGATCCATTTTGATTTGAATTTAGTATAGGTGGGAGATAAGGGTCCAGTTCCATTCTTCTACAAGCAGGTAACCAGTTTTAGGATGGTAGTTTTGTTTTGTTTTGTTTTGTTTTGAAACAGCAAGAAGAAAAAAGCTCTTGGTGAATACTGACCAAAAGGGGATAGAAGTCCAATCAACTTGCTTCCTTTACTTTGCCCTCATATTGACAAGTGGAGCCTGTGGACTTGTTTAAAACAGGTGCCTTTGTGGGCAGCTGGTTTACAGGAAACTAAGTTCAAAGGAAACTGATTACTCTGCATTTCTGTGTTTTTCCAAGTCCAGCCAGAGGTTAGGGAGGAGCTGTGAAGTAACCTTCTTCCTGGAGGAACCATCCTTATCCCCCTTATTTAAACTTTTATCCTTTGTTCTGCTTTTACATTTTTTATTATTACATGCTTGTAGTACATGCAGTTGACACTCATCTTGGGGAGTGGATACATGTGCATAATACAGCTTGATTCTTTTTTAAATTCCCTTCCCCTTCCCTCTCACCTCATCCCTCCTCTTCTAATGCCCTGTCCCCATTTTCATTCTTGCTGATATTATTAATCTTCCATCATGTTTATGACATACATTTACATTTATTTAGGTTATTTGTTTCCTTTACATGGCATATGTGTATCCTACTTATTTTCCTCTTGCCCTCATTCTCTTGGATACCTTCTCATTTTCAAGAGATATACTCCCTTGTCTCCTATCCAGCCTTCATTTCTCTCTTCGTACTTCACCTTACTCAAATGAGAGATACCATACAATATTTAAGCCAGTGTGTCTGGTTTATTTCATTCAATGTTATATTTTCCAGGTGTATCCATTTTCCTACAACTGTCTCAATTTTTCCTTCTTTATAGCCAAATAATGATCCAATATCTACAGATACCACATTTTCTTTATCCAGTCATCCATTGATAGATATACAGGCTGCTTCTAGGATTTGGCTATTATGAATTGTGCTGCTATAAATATGATTATGCATGTATCACTGTAGCATGACCTTTTTAGCTCTTTGGAGAAGATACCTAGAAAGGGCATAGAATTTCTAGTTTTAGTTCTTTGAGGAATCTCTATACTGACTTCCATAATGGTTATACTAGTTTACTTTCCCCCAACAATGTAGAGGGCTTTTTTTCACTGCAGTCATCCCAGTGTTTGTTATTCTTTGACTTTTTGATGATTGCCTCTGTTTCTGGTATAAGATGGAATCTTAGCATTGTTGTAATTTGTATTTATCTAGTGACCAGAGATGTTGAACACTTTTTCATATGTTTGTTGGCCATTTGTACATCTTCCTCTGAGAAATGTCTGTTCACTTCACTTGCCTGTTTCTTGATTGGGTTTTTTATTTTAGGTGCTCTAATTTTTTCAAGTTCATTGTTTTTCTTTTACATATCTATGTGTGGCTATCTGCTTGAATTAGTTCTTAACCCAGTGGGCTAGCTTCTTGTTATCTTAGGCTTGTCCCTGTTACAATGGGGAGGAGGGAAGTGAGGAGGCTTTGCAGTTGTCCAAGTGAGATTTAATGGTTATGGCTGGGTTGTTAGGTAAACAGTTAATGAAGATCTTAAAGGTGGAATGGACAGGACTTTCTCATGCATTGGATTTTTGTTGCTACCTTTGTTAAAGTTGTTGGTGGTGAGAAAAAGAGAAGAATCAAGAGTGAGTTCCAGGATTAAAAATAAATGGTGCTGCAATTACTGAGGTAAGAAATATGAAGGAGAGACAAATTTAGAGCAGGTTGTTAAGAATTCAAGGATGAAGCTGAGCATAATGGTGCTTTCCTGCAATCCTAGCACTCAGGAAGCTGAGACAGGAGGATTGTTATAAGTTTAAGGCCAACCTGAACTACATAGCAAGAAAAATGGGGCATGTGATAGGCTAAATAATGTCCTTCCAAAGATGTCCACATCCCATCTCCAGAACCTGTGTTACCTTTTACAGCAAAAAAGACTTAACAGATGTGATTAAATCAAGGATGGAGAGGTTGGCTTATCCAGGTAGGCTTGATGCAATCACAGAAATCCTTATAAGAGGAAAGCATTTGTCTTTTTTTCTCATCCCTGAGACACACTACCTAACACCAACATATCAAAAGAGGAATGTTTATTTTGGCTCAGTTTGTAGTGATTTCAGTCCATGTCATCTGTCTCCAAGGCAGAGCAGCATGGTAGAGGGGTGTGACAGAGGAGAAACAGTCTATGGCAGGGTAGGCAGGAAGCAGTCAGCAGCACAGCAAGCCTTCCTCTCCCTCCCTTTTATCTCATTCAGGCTAAAGCCTGTTGGAT